TGTCATTAGCATTGTACATGTCCTTCGTCGATATTGAACTTGAATTTTATGGCTTGATTGTTTTTTCTAGCTTAAAAGAACATGTTGTACATGTGTAGTTGTTCAATTACACAATCTTTAGTATCTATAATAATCTTCAATATTTCCGATCGTACACAGTAGGATAGGTCGCTACCTACCAAGGTACCTTTAGTGTTAGATATTATAGGATCTACCTAAGCGTCAACTGACGCTTCATCTTATTTTATTACAAGCTATTTTTTAAGTATATCTATCAAAATAGCGTAAGCGACAATACCAGACCTTTTGTCGAGGACATTCTAAGTCCACTTACTTAAAACCGAACAAAATTACAAGTAAACGATTGGCACCTGTTTTTCACTTTCATTTTCTACCATCAACGTAATAGACTCAAAACAAAAGTGCATTATAAATGCATTGAAACGAGAGCAACGTTCCTCATTGACCTTTGTCCAACTTGACACACCCACTGCGCGGGCGCACCTCGTTACAGAGGCGTCTATGACTGAACGTAATTGTACAACCTTGTCATTTTTTAACCGACTGCAGATAGAAGGATTATGTTTGCACTTGTTTTAATAGTAATAATAAACAATTTATTGTACCCCACACAAAACAAGAAAGAAGGAAATACACAAAAGGGAAAAGAGATAGAATTTAAGCGGTATTATCGCTATAAAGCAATCTCTTCCAGACAACCTAGGAAGAGTAGTTTTAAACTTAAAACAAGTAAGAGTATGTTTCGATTTGAAGTCTAAATGTTAATTTAGGCTTTGTGATAGACTTAGGTTATCTTCCTTCGTGTTAAGTTTTTAATTCCAATTTAAATATGTATGTTTTTTCATTGTTGCAAGCATAATTATACAAAAAGTGCTAATTAGTAACAGTACTGTTTTCATGATTTATTTTTCAGCAATATAAAAACGTAACGAATCGTCTTTATTTCGGATTGAAAAGAAAATGAACATAATTTAAAATTAGTCTGAATGGAATGCATTGTATTAGTCTAAGTCGCTCAATATTCTTGAAACTTGTTGAAGACAACGATCAAGAATATTTGGGTCATCTTCTCAGGCGGACAAACTTTAAAGTTACCAATCAACGAGTAATTATCGCATAGATTTGAATAATAAACCAATGAAACTTTCTGAAGTCGATGAACCTTCAATTGTTTTGTGTGCGTACAAACTACCTATCTACTACATCGTTCATTCAGGCATTTCATTGTGTTTATCAGGCCAGTGATCAAATTGTTTGCCTCTTAATTTATCGATAGTCGATGTACGTCAATTTTATTAAAGCCTATATTGCAAAACAATTCCTACATCATCCGTGATCGAAGATTGTAAAGTTGGTGCCATATTTGTGAGTTATTTACACCATAGATGCCATAAACCGATCGGTTCCTCCATAAGTGCCATAAAATCAGGATTTTTTATTATTTTATCATTTTCATCATCATCAGGTCATTTAGGCTACACTACTAGAGCACCACCCTCCACAATTTGCCACATGCAAATTTATTTATTGACAAAGATCTACCAACAACGAACAACACATCTTTACACAAACAAGAAAAGGAAGAATTGGACTATTTACTAAAGCCACTTCCAAAACAACTCATAATATGTATGTATTCTTTGTTTTCTTCCCCTTTCCTAACTTGGGGAAAACAAGTATAAAAATAGGTTAATGGACAAATAGTTTGTTTTCAGGAAGTTCAGTGACTTGCAACTTCATGCATAAACAGTTTATTGTTCCCCTTCAAAAGGTTATCCAAGTTATTCAAAAGTCCGAACTGGATCTAAGTATGAGCCTTGGAGGACCCCCGAAATCAGTTATTAACACTTTCCTGACTTGAAGTAGTCAGATTTATCCTCTAAACCAGTGTTTCTTAAACTGTGGTCCGCGAACCCCTGGGGGTCCACGGGCATATACATATGTGTATGGGGGTCCGCAGTCTTATCTATGGACCATTTAACAATCGTAAGTTAATCAAAAGTCTCGTGAACGAAATTTATTGCTGCTTTTTTAAAGGGGTCCTTAAAATTGTGCTTGATTTCCCAAGGGTCCGTGGACAAAAAAGGTTATCTATCATAACCGTTATCAACTCTAGATTACGCAGTATCATCATGAAGTCATTATGCATAATGATAGCACCTATCAATCATCGATCTGTTTTCCCAGACTGACAGGATTCAAAAACTGCAGCAGTAAGAAATCTAAACATGTCATGTTGCCAAAATGCCATTTAAGTCTTCAAGATAAGAATGTTTACGATCAGCTCAGTTTACAACCTGTCGGGCATGTTTGAAACGAAAGGCGTTATGCGTCATGCAGTTTAAATATCCGATGTTGCAGATTTGAAAACATTTTTTAATGTTAGCCAGTAATAACAACAATATTTGGGCTGGTGGGCCCAAGGGGTTCGAAATGAACCTCTAAAGATCGCTTTTAAAACAAAAATGTCGTTTACCAAATACAGGTTTCTCAAACAACAGAAATATCATTCGACACTAACATTAATACCATGTTTAAATAAAAATCTAGTAGAGAAGTTACACAATATTACACAACTACTCTACCGTAAAATTATTGACTACAAGCTCCGCGATAAAATCCTTGATAGTGGAAAAACTATAATTGAAGATCGCTGAAAGAAGCAATTAAGTGGTTCCTATTGTGAGAAAAACTGAATCAAGCTTAATTCAAAAGCGATTAATGCTTCGTTGGTTTAAGTGACAATAAAAGGCACGTGCCTAATTACTGTGTCAAGATGAACTGGACACGGCAAGGGTAGTTTTAACAAGCAATTATGTAGTACGAAAGTGCAGTCGTTAGTCACTCTAAGACACTCAATGACGTAATTAAGTGTTAAATTATATCACGTTGAAAGTAGGTAAAGGTTTATCACCATTATTATCCATATATCACTTTTAATAATAGTCTTCGTTCACTATTCCAGTAGGTTTTCTAATATGTCCGTTTTTTAAAGAAACGTGTAATTCACAAGTTAAACTGACATGGCCTAGCTGTTCTATGATTCGTAGAATTTGTAATAACGCTGGATTTTATGCAATTTAAAATAGAATATACGAATTCTAATGTTCATGTTACATTAGAGTAATATTTTTCAGAGATGCACGCCCTCTTAGAACTGTTCCCAAAATTCTTCTTCGATCTCATACAGGTGTTAGGCTACAATTTTATTGTCTACTCCATGGAACATATCTTTTTGAGTCTTAGAACACACATTATCCATTAACACCGCTGAAATCGTTGATACTTTAACCTTTCAGAATACAAAAGAGTGACGTCTGCTTTCAGAAGGTAAAAATAAAAGTCATCAGAATCATGAAGTCATTGTATGTAAAGTAGCTGTGATACTTAACTTATATAACTTGCTATATGTCAGATTCATTAGACGCTAGCTTTGGTTCATTGGTTTCTTTAAGCTCGTAGATATCATTACTTGGTTGCATTCTTTTGAAACTTATCGATTCATGGTTTCAAGATAGGTTTTGGTTTAACATGTACCCTTTTATTTTTTTAAATAATCAAAACAGTGCTACAAAATTTTAAGCAATCACTTTCTGATAATTATTGATTTGCTGAAACGAGACAAAAACAGTATAGGTAACTACTTATTTTAGTTCTTTTTTTTTAATTTCGTGAACATTTCATGAATTCTTTCTAGACACGGGGACAGAATTATTGCGCAGCAGAATCTAAATTAAAGAGAGTTTAGTTAGAACAGGGTAGAAGCATTGAATTTTTGGATAGATCCAGTTTATTTTGTACTTATTGATACCGTTTGATAGAGCTCGTGAAGCACTTTCAGGATCAGTAAACAGTTTTTCGATATCTTGTACAGTTAGGAAATAATCGAGTGAAATCACTTATCGTTTCTACCCTGTAGACTGCATAGCAATAGGAATCTATGACAACAGTTATGCCCGCTCAGTTCACTATTTCAATTTCAAAGCAACTGAATCTAATTTTACAGCGAATGAAAAGTAATTGTGTTGGCCTGAAATAGATTGTTTTTAAAGAAAATTTTCCTAGTTATTTGAATGGTGTACTGTCAACTACTCAGTTTTGGAGATGATGTACGCGAACGAAACGGAGACGAGCCAAATTACGGTCGGTTACGTTTTTAGTCTTTGTGTAAATTTCTAGCGGAAGATGGTGATGAAAATTTTTACACACAGGTAGGTAGTGTGGTTTATTTATTACTAGATTGGTAATCAATTGCTGCGTGCACAATTTTTACTCATTTCTTATTGGTCAATTTTTCTGGGATTTCTTAGGCTGAGTTGCACCACCTACCTTTGACCGTAACTTTAACGATAACCGGTGTTTTTTGTATGGAGTTTGACAGATTTTGATAAGGATTTTTTCTTGTAAGAGAGCTTTTTGAAAGCGTAATTGGAAAAATATAAATGACTATCTGTTCCGGGAAAATGGATTTCGTACTTAAATTTTGTTTACTAAAATAGCTGCAACATTTATGTATTTCTATACTATGATTATACTGGTTGCCTGGTTGTTTGAAACTATATCCTAGATGGTAGGCTAGATTATAAACGAGTCTATAATTTCATTCAGATTCAGACAGATATTAATGATTGTTTCTAGCTGCTTTATAGCCACAAACATTCTTGCAATTTTAGAAATGCAGAGATATGGGCAGTGCGTTTGATACGAAATTAACTTCGAGAAATTTTGTTTTGCAATTCTTTCTTGCTAACAAACTTGCGTAAGTTTTTTTAGACAATACTTACTTTGGAAATTAGAACTTATGTTCCGTTATTTAAGACCTGAATTTAATAATGTGAAAATTTCTGATAATGTTTTGTAACACGTGGTAACGTGTAAATTTGTCGTAGCCCCATTTGGCCAAGCTGAAAATATTTTCTCCTTCAGATTCAAAACGTAAACATACAAACACATTTACTGAAAAGTTGCAAGCCACGTACCGGTATGGAAGCAAATCCTTTGTATCTTCACAAGGAGGTACAGTCACCGGTGTCGAAAATAACACACACGTTTATGTACACACGAAATGTTTTGGCGGGCGGAGACCGCCGGGCGCACGTCCGACCGTGTTCGTTGTTGCGCACCGACTGACCGGTCGCGCGCGTTTTCCTTCACCAGTACGAAGGTGTGTGGCGGCGAATCAAGCGCGTCGCGTGCCGTTCTTATTTTAAATTCCTGTCAAAGTGCGTGAACCTGCCAGTGCGGAGATAAGGCCACGTGATGGCGGCAGGTTGGTGTGTGCTTTTTTATCTGTGGTGGTGCAGGTAGCGTGATTCGCGCCTAGGGAGGTTAACAGAACACTGGTAGAGTCAACAGATGCGCCGCGGATTGCGCTGTTGGAGTAACCTCAATCGCTTAATCCCTCGTCTTACTGACTCTATAACATATATCCTCATGTGATAAAGGAGCTTTATTTAGGTGTTTACTCTCAAATATCTTATCGTGTAGGTAAAGAATTATTGTATAGAATAAATAAAACTTAAACCCATAGAAAGCTTGGCAACGCGTTAAAGAGGTGCTCTTGCAGAAATGTCCATAAAGCATTTAGTGATGGGTCTCTCCATATTTCAGAAAAACGAAATTCTACAACAACACTTCGAAAAGCCCCCAATATTAAAGCAAATTAAACTTCCAATCAGCTCCTGGATCTTCCAAGAAACAATGAACACTTCGGGGAAATACAGGGTGTCCGAAATCAGTATCAGTAGCCCACAGAGCCTGATATCACGCCGTTAGCCACGCATGACCTTCGTCGGTCACCGTTACGATAATGGGTTAGTAGAATTATAATAAAAGTAGATGCAGTGGGTCCACTGGGTTTACTCCTAAAAACGTTATCCGAAGTTTCGAATGTTGCCATCCCTCTCACGCAAAGCGAGATGCCAGAAGGAGCGACGGTGTCAGATAGAGCTGAAAATACTCCAAAACGCTTGCAGTAGCCCTGTATACCTCTTGAGAAGATGTCGTCATGATGACTGGGCACACTTTAAGAGCTGATGTTCTGTTTAAAACAGCTCCTTTTTGTTGCTGCAATAAAAAGGAAGGAAGGCTCGAAGGACCATGCACAGAACTTACATACGACTTTATCAACTCCCGCTCTGATTTTTAAGTTCCACATGTAAAGTAACTTTTTTCCAATCTTACTGCGCCTGCGCCTATTAGGTACGGTAGAAAGATAACCGGCAAAGCCAGCAGTGAAATTGATGCTGTCGATTTATAATCTGTCAGAATTATACATAATTTTGTGTTTATAATGATAGTAAATATGGAGACTTATTCTTCTGATGAATCATGATGAAAATACGTATTTTGCCATAGAAATACAAAATCTATAACCATTGAAATAATGGTTCCATATACCGAATATCTGCTATGCAAAAGCAATATTTTTTTTTTTAAGATTTGAAGATATTGTTGAAGATGACCCTACCTACCTTCGTGACAGATTCAACTACGAAATCGCGTCATTGAGCGTCATATAGGTACCTGTTTGTTTACAAAAACTTCGGAAATCGCTTCGATTTGAAAAAAAACTACACCATCCAGAGGGGTTGGTATTAAAAGTATTTTCTGCGTACTATGTGCCCTGCCCATTGCCACTTCAGCTTGCTAATCCAATAAAATAAAATTAAAATCCGTCGGGCTATGTCAGCGACTTTTAGTTAGTTTACGGATCTCCTCATTTCTGTTTCGACCTTGTAAAGGAACACCGAGCATAGATAGCCCTGTCCATAGCACTGACGACCTCTTAAAGATAGCAGGAAGACTGGATCCATTGTGGAAGTCATTGGGGGAGGCCTATGTTCAGTAGTAGACGTCCTATATGGCTGATGAAGATGACGATGATGAAAAGTATTTTTTTAAATTAAACAACCACTGCACTATAATCTATAGTTGTGGTTTTGACGCGGAAGGTGTTGACAATGGCAGTGTCGATAACACTTCGACAATCGCGGTTTGTCGTGTCCTCAGCACCTTTGTACTTTACTACGTCAAGCTATGACGCGTTTGCGCTTGCTGGCTGCGAAATGTTTTAGAATAAAAAATGGTAAAATTCAGTATTTAATTTTTTTAATACCAGTTAAACTTTACCGTAGGTATGCCATTGTGATCGCTGGAGCATAGTGAACCATTTGCTGAGCACATTCAAATACATATAAGCGTATTGAGAAAACGTTATTTGACCACGTTATTTTTTGCCGTCCCGTTTCGCTTGTTGATTCGCTGAAAGCCTTTTAAAATCTGTCAAATAAACTTCAACTTCTTATACTGAAACTGATTCTTATTCTGATCTTAAATTCTTTAATAGTTTTTTAGCCCTTTTCAGGGCACTTATACACCTCCCAAATATAGCTTGCTCTACCATCATTTCGAGACAACATTTACGCCCGTATTCACAAACGATGCTTGCCTATGTGAAGCAGCAAATCGAACGCACAGCGTGGAATAGAGCTCTGTGATTGGTTCATACTCGTATGTCACTCTGTGCGTCCACGCGCACTGTGAGATCTCATAGTAATTTATTTATTTATTTATTTATAGAAACCAATAGCGATACATTGAAATTGTAATGTTTGTGAATACGGGCGATAGGCTGGTGCTGAGAAGTGGCGGAAGGCTCAAATTAAAACAAAACTGCTGAAATTAGAGTTTATAGATGACCCACGCTGAACTGTCCCGCCAAACTCAATGACAGGGGGGCGCTACCATCGTTCAACTTAATGGTTTCCAATATGGCAAAAATCGGAACCAGCGATTCGGTATTGACGGTGGCGCCCCGCTGTCAATGTCATCGATAGGACAGTTCAGTATTTTGGAACTATAGTTGAATTTTAATCCCAGTAGATAGGCATAATGAGCGCAATGTCACGTCAAACGCGGAAGTTTACGTCGGCGGTTGACATTGACACTCGTTTTTATGCTGGCCACTCAGCGGGGTTACTCCGAAAAACGTTATCCGAAGTTTCGAATGTTGCCATCCCTGTCACGCAAAGCGAAATGCCAGCATGAAAGACGGTGACAGAGAGAAACGAAACTACGTAAACCTGGCTTCGGAGTAGCCACTCTGTAACGCACAACCATTGGTATTTCACTCTCAAATATTTATTTTTGTTTATTGTAAACACTGGTACAGCTCTACAATGTTGAAGGTACCTTGAGATCGGCGTGAATGTAGATGGGTGACCGTTTTGCAATTACATAGGTAAATTAATACTGTGTCTCTACTTCCATGTTCCATCTGTGCTGCAGAAATGGGTCTCTACATTATCACCCCTATTAATTGTTTGCAGTGAAACCCCTTCTTTTAGTTCCCTCTCAGTGATACTCTTGAGTCTCTTGTCAGGTGACTCTTTAGCCTTAAATTCACAGACGACCTTTATCTACTGTGCTTTAGTCATAGAATTTCTTTTTATTAGAGACCTTAACACATACAGCTGTGTTGTGTAGCTTAAGCTTACTTATCAAGTGTCTCTTCTACACGACTATGAGCTACACAGTTGCAATAAAATCGACTTAGCTGATACATATTAATTTGTGCAAATTCACGATGTACATTTTATCTAGACTTTTTTTAAAACCAGAATCAAATACTTAAAACATAACTGTTTTTTTATGTAACCAAATAGTTTACTGAAGGTTTTGGTCGCATGTTATATGTATTATCAAACAACAACTGCTCGCAGGAAGATTTAATGAATGCTACTGACAATGCCACTGCCACTCTTGTAGCAGTTTCGGGCTGACACTGAGTAGGTTTGTTATCGACACGACAAGAAGAAGATCAAATTGAAACCTTAAACTAACTAGACAATGCACTCTGCTATCTAATCTAATTTTTCATTCAATTTCGTCTTCTTTTTCTATGACTTTTCCTATTTCATTTTAGTGTCTGCCCTACTGTGGCTACTGTTATAAGACGGCGAGACAGTTCTTGGGTTGGTCGTTCCAAATCTTTCATTTTTCTTATTTGCCATTTCGTAAAAAGGAAAAAGAACGTTTCAATCTACAGGCCTTTGAAATTCAGCCACCTATGTATTTATATCCTTGAGTAGTTTAGAAACACATGAGTATATGTAGAAATACAACAACATTGATCTTTGACATCAGTTTCTAAGCAACAAGTATACGTTAACGGAAATATGAGCCTTGAATTTGAATTAGTTAAATAAAAATATATTACTTATTTCTTAACTACTATAAAACAATGTCTGCATGAAAAAATAACAAAATTATGCTCTATGCATTTTCCAAGCAGTCTCATAGGACTCATCCCAGGGATATTAACTTGGGCTATACTTAGGTACATCATATACCATCGTCCCCTAACTAAAGTGGTTAACATAGTCAGAAGAATTGCCAAACTTAAGTAGCAGTTGGCGAGACACATAGCGCGCAAATCTTGATGACTATTGATTTGAAATCACAGACCAAAAAGAAGTGTAGGTAACTTCTACTCGCACCGAAAAGGGTCGCTTGAAGCGCTTGGAATCAGACAGAACAGTGTGCTTACCATGAGTTTACGCTAGGTGTGCTCGTACGTCAAAAAAATCTATGAAGATTTTATTTCTTGAAAGTAGCCTCTAGGGGCGCTGCACAATATGTCATACATTTAATGTCATTTTTTTACGCAGTCGCTATCGAGCACACTTAACGTAAACTCATGGTAAACACACAGGACTGTTCGTTGTGGAAATCCAGGAAGGACTTAATCCAGCAGTAGACGAATTTCAGTTAGAACTAATAATAACTCCTCATTAGAGGACAGGAACGTGGCGTTGCGTGGGCAGGCCCACTAGGTGGACCGACGATCTGGTGAAGGTCACTCGAAGAACCTGGATGCAGGCAGTGCAGTACCAGCCGCTATGGAAATCCTTGGGGGAGACCTCTGTCCAGCAGTGGACGTCATTTGGCTGAAACGAACGAAATAGACATCGTCTTTTTCTAAATAGGTGGTCCAATCTATACTTGGATTAGATATAATTTCATGCTAAAACATCGGTGTGGATCCATTGAGAAAGCCGATCCGCCATATTTAGACTTTAGACTAGGGTTGCCATACGTCCCCGTACGCCGGGACATGTCCCCGTTTGAAGCATGGTGTCCTGGCGTCCCGGCCGATAAGCAATTTGTCCCCGTTTAAAAATCATAGTTATTTAATAGAGGGCTGGATTTGGTAAACAGTAATATACCTACGTAGAAATAAACGCCTATGTCAATTTGGGC